TTGGCTACTGACTTCAGTGGAGTTCCTTTAGATTTTAGTATATAAGAAAGCAGAATTCAGCCCACTGAGTGCTGGTCCACCTACACAGAGAATTCTCTGTCTTAGCCACTCTGCTGGTATGCCTTGCTTGTCTACACAAGATCACACTGATCACCAGATTTGGGTTGGGAAAGAAAATTTCCCCCAGGCTCGACTAGCAGGGAGCTTGAGAGAGTTTTGCCTTTCTTTGCAGCATGAAGTGTGGGTTGCCTGCTATTGTCCTCTGGGCACATCTCACTTAATTAGTTCCCTACCATTGCAGGGACCCTTGTCATTAGTGGCATCTTGGTCCCACCTGTTCTCCATTTGTGGCACACAACCTGAAGACCAAAATGCCTTAGTGTAAACCAAGTTACTGTGCTCACTTCAGGAGTGTCTGACTGAAATATCATGGTCTGTGATATACGGAACATTGGCTGAGCTGGTTTAATGGTCCCCTCTGACATTAAACTCTTAAGAAACTCTGCATGATACTGCTCTTGTTAACCTTTCTGCAAACACTCTGTGGTAGTGTTTCCCCAGGGCATATCTCTTAGGAAATCCTTCCAATTTCCAGGGCTCCTTCAGGCTGCTATGGCACAATGGCAATTACAACAAGGAGGATGTTTTGTGATGGTAACCTCCTTTTAGCACCTTCTGTGTTCCTGGAGTAGCAGCATAGGAAACCAGCAGGACATACTGTTAGGTTCTTCCTAGCTAGCTGCTGGCCATGGACTCTCCAATAGTGGTAGGAGGGGAGGAGCCACAATTTTTTTTATCCTGAAGGCAGCATTGGGCAGTATTTTTCCTTAAGATATCTCATCTTTTCCTTTCCAGAGATTCCTGCCATCAACCCAACCTCCATGGTTACCAGCACAGAAGAGCCTGCAGGTGAGTGCTCTTTATTCCAGGAAACAAAAGGCACAAGAAGGCTTCTTTCCTGGCACTGTACAGCTAGGTCTGTCTATATATTCCCTCCTGCCCCTCAACCATTCCCTGAGGACTCCCCAGTACTCCCCTCGCTAACTGTGTGCTGGACTGTAATGCTGAATCATCCCCTCACGCCCGGCTTGGTCATGGAGAGCCAGCAGCCAGATTTCCTTTGACGAAAAATAAAATGTGCAAATGAGGTTTTAAATCCTATTTATTTTTGGAAAACAACCAAAGAAACTTGACAAGAGTTCTCTGGGTTGTTTTTTTTTTCTTATTTCACTATGAAAAAATACCCAACACCCAACTAGGAATCTGCTTGTGCTTTGGCCAGTGCCAGCTCTAACACTTCAGGGGATTGGAAAGGGGGGTTATGGGACCTATTGCTTTCTCACACTGGTTTTCTAGGAGATTGTTTCTTTAATCTCCTTGAGTCTCCTCCAGGCACAAGCAATTTCCCCTGAGTGCTCTTTGTCTCTGCATCAGCCTCCTTCAGGGAAAGCTTGAAAGTCTGCCATTCTGCCAAGACTCACAGGCAAGGAACACAGGCAAGGATCACCTCCTAGATCAGTGGCTCTCAACCAGGATGCTGGGGCACCCTGGGTCCCATGGGATCCTTTGAAGGGTGCTGCAGGAAATGTGAAGAGGTATACAGATAGGAGAAGGCTCAGGCTCCAGATGTGAGGACATAAGCAGATAGGGGCAGGCTCAGGCCTTCCCTGCTTGGCCATTCCCCCACCCCCTTGGCCTGATCCCTCTGCATGAGATAAGCACTGTAATAAATCAATTACTTCTTGAAATGGGGTACCACTCAATTCACAAAGTTATGGAGGGGTGCCTCAAGTCTAAGGACGTGTGCATTGTGTCTAAAAAGGTTGAGAACCACTGCTCTAGAAGCAGGCCGAAAAAGGAATGGATCAGCTTTCACTAAGAGGGTGTGCTGATATATTTACTGGGTCAAATTGTGCCTGGCTCTTGTATAAGTACGCAAGAAACCTTCCCTCCATCAGCTCCCACATGGGTGCCTGGCACAGCTGCTGCTGTTGTTTTCTCAGAGATCTGAGTGGAGGTTCCTGGCCAGCTTAAGCTGACTGGTTGAACCTGGTTTTTGAGTGTCCATAAACACTAGGGCAGCAGGGTGACAGTACACTATAGAAAGGAAAAGGCTGTTGTCCCCAACATCATCTACATGTTTATGGCAGACTCAGGTCGTCATGTCTCGGGGTTTCCTGGGAGGCTCACTTCTGTGTTGTGGAGGACCTGTAACAGGAAGGGGCTTTGGCATAGAGAAGCAACTGTCCATCCCAGCCCCCAGGTTTCTGTTTGGGGGGAAGGAGCTGAAACTTCACCTACTCCTGCTAGGTCTCTTGGACAGATGGACCACCCCCAGGGTCAACAAAGCAAAAGCTGCTGAGAGCTGTAACTGCATGTTCACCTGGATGTGTGAACCATTCCCCAAAGCAGCAGATGCTTTCCACTGGATGCCCAGCTCTGAAACCTAGTCCTAGAAGGGCTCTGGCATGCTACAGAAGAGGAGATGTTGTAGCTCGCCACCCTAACCTTCAAGTTGATTTTAGTGTAGGAGAGACAGGGTAAGACTGATGGGTTCACTGGTATGGAGGCAGGGCTCCCTGAGCAGAGGTCTGACTGCAGTGTGTGTATTCTGGGGTTGTTGTAGACTGCCTTTAATGGAGGAGGTCTAATAAGCATTGTATAAAAACCTAGAGTGGTTGATTGACTGATTAGCTTCCAGGGTCAAGCTGTCACTGAACTGCAGTCATCTTAGTCAGCCGCTTACACCAGATATACTGGAAACTCCACATATAGCTCTGGGCTCAAATGAGAAGTCTGAGCTGACCAGCAGCCTGCCTTTGGGGTAGCACTTCAGGTTTTGATTGGACAAATGCTATGGCATAAGTGTCAAATGATCTCTTGGTTTCTGCCTTGCCTGTGACACAACAGCCTCCTTTTTCTTGGCCACTTTTCCGTCCCAAGCCCTGTACAATTCTTCCATCTCATGCCTGTCTGTTTTGTCTGTCATGTGGATTTCTTGTGTTTACCTCCATAGCAATACTGCCCCAAGCAACCTCAAACTTACTGTGTATCCATTTGTAGTGAGCTTTCCTGGCCAATCCAGGAACATTGCTTATAGGCTCTCTAACCGTGTAATTCTGACACCTTTCTCTTCCTCCCATCCTTCCCTCAAGGCCTTGGTCTTCTCGTGCCCTTCAGCATGAAAGTAACAGACACCCTGCCCCGTTTCACTTCCAATCAATGATACATATGGGGATTATGGTGTCAAGATGACACCAAATGTGGTCCCTCTGGGTCACTCAGCTGTTTCTTGAGGGTTGCCTCACCACTAGCTGAGAGCCAGAGACTGCCTGTAATCATGCAAGTCTGAAACCCAGACAGGGTGAGAGGTTAGGGATTCTGTGCTTCATAGTTGTTCCATGCTATCAAGCCACCAGGATGCTTTATACTGATTCTGTTTTCATAGTGTGAATAGACTCCTACTGCTATGGGTCTTTATTAGTATGCCCTATTAATTCATGCCTGCACTTAACTTTTGCCCAGGCACCCTGTGTAGAACGTGTGGATACAATAGGGTAGAGTCTAGGGCTGGAAAACAATGACAGTCTCCTCATTCTTTCCCAGCCCATCAATACCTCTTGTGTGGTTTGCTCCTACTCTAACTGGACATGTGACCCCCCTCCGCCCCCCGCAACAGCACAAGCCTCCAAGTCTCAGTCCTGTGGGGAGTTCGCTGTCCCCAGCCTCAGCCCTTCTGCACAATGACTCTTTTGTGCTAAGAACGCCGTGAGAATGTTGTTCCTCGTCTCCGTCTTCCGTGGGCTCTCGGCTATGTGAGTTCATGAAATCCCTGCTCCCCTCTGTTCCTTCTCAGCCTGGCTCAAGAGTGGGGCCTTCAACCTCAGTCTTTTAGGCATTTTTATTACCACATTTCTGTGGTTCTCCTCATCTTGCCCTACTCTCTTTTATTTGATTGTAAAAGATTGACTATTCGCCTGCAAGGAAATCCTACCTCAGTGTGCTCTGGGGTGGCTGCATTTTCTATGGAGTAGCTGAGCTTGGTATGGCATGCCAGATCCTCAGTGGGTATAGCACAGCATCACTCCTTCCACTGTAATGGACCAGTGCCAAGTTACACCAGCTGACGCTCTGGCCCCTGTTATGTACATAGAACAGGAAACTAGACGTATTGCACTGAGGTGAAATGTAAAGTTCCTAGACTAGCTTATAATGTATGTGGAAAATATTTCATTTCATGCTACAGTTATGGAATTAAGCCAGTGCTCTGGAAATCATGTGTATTGTGACATATAATTGGACAAACAACAGGGAATGGCCTATTCTGTGCGGTGTTCCTTGCAAGGGAAGGCTGACAGTAATAAGCTCAATTTTGATCCAGAGTGTCAAACCAAAGGGCTCCTCACAGGCCAGATCCAGACATAGTGGGGTAGTGGTAGGGTGAGCAGTGACAGCAGCATGGAGGTTAATGCAGTCATCATTTGTTCCCTGCCACTGGCACATGTCCCCAAAGGGGCTCCATGCCTGGGATTTGGCAGCAAGCCCCACAACACTTGCCCTGCCTCTGATTTCCCAGCCTCTCTGGGAGCTCCTCAGGCCACATGAAAGCTTTGTTCTCTGAATAGGGCCCATGGACCATACATTTGACCCCACTGACTCACAGCATCATGGTCCATGCTCCAACACCATCTCCTAAAGTGCCTCCTGCTGGAAGACACAGGGACTACAAGAGTCGTACACCCAATTCTCTTACCCATTGTTCCATGCAGCAAGGGTTCACGATTATTTTGGCTGGATGGCCACTTAATGAGTTTTGGCGAGCTGTCAAGGACTGCATGGGTAGCCCCACCCCTTTACAGGTGCCCTGCCCCCTGGTCATCATGTTGGGACCAGAAGATCCCCTCCATAACCCCTGACCTTTGCCACCAGAAGTCCTTCCCCTTGCCCCCCCCAAAATACTCCTTTTGGGAGGGGGAGTTGCCATCTTGGAACCAGAAAAAACCCCAGATCGTACACTAAAAGTCAAATGCCTACTATAACATATTTAATTTTATTACAAAAAATATTTTTGTCATGATTTTTGTTTGTGTAGTGTATATAGAGGTGATTGCATAATAACTAAAAAATAAAGTCTTACTCCTGTATATTGTGTGTATGTAAGTTTGGTACCATGGGTGAGCATGGAGGTTCAGGGAATCCAAGAGACATCCTTTCAAATTCATCATGGCTCTGGGTGTGTGTATGGGGGGGTGTAGTTGGGGTGTGAGGGGAGCATGTCTATGGTATCCTTGCAAAGTCCTCATGGTTGTGTGTGTGTGTGTGGGGGGGATGTATGGTGGGGTGTGGGAAGGGTGTGTGTGTGTGTGTGTGTGTG